TTGTAACGAAATGTCGAATGAACAAAATTTTTCAGCTTTTTAAAGAGTAATGGAGGAACTTAAAAGAACTCCAAAATAAAGTTTGTATGATTTATATGAATGAAATAATTATTTCTAGTGTAGGGTTGCAAGAATATATTAAAAATTTTAAATTAGTATTTTCAAAATCAATAGAGTCAAACTTTAAAATCCGATTAGACAAAAGTGAATTTTTAGAAAAACAAGTCGAGTTTTTAGATCATGTTGTTACAAAAGATGGCATTCAAACATTCAAAATCCAAAATTTGACCAAAATTAACTTTGAAGAAATCTATGAACTTGAGGATATGGTGAATCAACCATCACCAGTAGAAGAAGTCAAAGATGAACCAATAATAAACAATTATATTTGGAATCCTGGCTATTTGTCTACCAATCATCGCAATAATCGTCATCAAAAGAAGAACAGCCATTACCAAATACTTCAAAAAGAAGCCAGCATCCGACCCAAAACCTAAAGAAGTTACCTAAGAAAATACTAGCGGTATTTTCTAACTTATTGAGGGAGGAGTTTCATAGACTACGTTTATTTCACGCGTTGTATCCGGATACTAAGTGGATTGGATTAATAATGGGGATTTTTTGTTATCTATTGGCTTCCATTTGGTTGTGCCACGTTTTTTTTTAGATAAGTCAATTCAGACTTTCGGACTACAGGATGTTCCCAAATATCATGTACAAACGGAAGGGGGTGATTCTTTGGTTTATTCTATGACTAAAATTTCTAATAAACATAAGTTCGCAAACGCTTCGTTACCGATCTACAGGGTGTTGGAATTTTAATGTGTTCATATTGAAAATGAGCAAGAATATGGCTGCGGGACCTCTATTGTCGACACTGTAGGTAGAAAAGTTTTATTGAGTCACTTTAGTTTCATCTAGCTAATTACAGAGATTTGTTTTTAAATTTTTTTCTCGATAAGGGTCGGTGATACGAAAAAACTAGAAGAAAACAAAAAGTTTCTAAATAGGGTAGCAAAATTATTTTTCCTACGAGCGTGCGCAAAGTAGTACTTTTCCGCACGCATTTCGGTTCTCAAAGTTACACTTTTCCGCACTCAGTGCGGATACAGGCCTTATCCGCACTGAGTGCCGAAAAGTAAAAATAATTGTCAAGCAACAATAAGGGCACCTGTCGACGTTGACAAATGATGACAAATTTTTCCTCTGTTTCTATATCAGCCAACATCTATACAAACACCAAATTTAATTAACTTTGACACATTGTCAGATTTGTTCTCTATTGATATGCAAGAATCTACAAACTTTCTCATCAAATTTAAACGTTTTAAAAAAAGGGCTCTGACGATGATTTTCTGTTATTTTTTTTTTGTTATGTAATTTTTTGATAACTGCATAGGTTCGCTTCAAGTTAATTAAAAATAGTTGAACAAATAATTTTTTTTTCTAAATTTTTGTTGTTACCTACCTGATATGAAGCTCGTAGGAAAAATTTAGTTCCTAACACGTGCGCAAAGTGTCTTTTCCGCACGCAAACACTTATCCAAACTCCGCTTCGCGTCGTTCGTATAACTGTGTTTGCGTGCGGAAAAGTAACACTTTGCGCACTTGTTAGGAAAATAACTATTATTTCTCAGAATCGACCAGCGGCGCACCGCAAAAAAGTTCAGGGGCAGAAAAGGGGGCATGACCCCTGAAAAAACATCACTGTAGATTCTGACAAACGTTTGACATGTCGATACCAATATTCTAATAGGACGTAACCCCTAAATCCAAAGTTTGTCAGGAGGTGAAATAAACGTATATTTTTTTAAGTATTCGAAGGAAGCTTGACTATATATATATATATATATATATATATATATATATATATATATATATATATATATATATATATATATATATATATATATATATACTATAATATTTTCAGTTGAATGTTTCATACGATATACTAGAATTAAAGACCCATTGAACTCATATTCATTGAAAACGCTAAAAACGAAGCGTTTGCGGACCTATGTTTATTAGAAATTTTAGTCATAAAATGAACCAAAGAATCACCCCCTTTCATTTGTACATGATATTTAGGAACACCCTGTATAGGTACTGCTACTCTGGTTTTTGAAAATCAATTGTTAGTGTGGGAATATTGGACCATTTGCTTTAAATAGAGTCGGTGAGAACCAAATTTGTGTGTCCATCCCTATCAACTCTTTATTGAATCCAGGCAGAGGCCTGAATAGCCATTTTCTGTTTGATTCCGTCAATTATTATCTCGAATAAAGGGGGTTATTGTTTTTAATAGAAATCCAGACAGGTCAAAAATTCAGAGTTTTCAATCCACTCCTCCAAATTTGTAGGATTTGAGTTAGAATTGATTATTTCAAATGTGAAATAAACACCTTTAAATCTCGGATTTAAGAAGTTTGTTGCTAACTTCAAGAAAAAATTATGTTTGTCATTTGTAATTTCTTTGGGGATTGATGTTATTTAATTTTATATATATTTTTAGATGAAAAACTGGTGTAAGTAAAAGAAAATGTGTACCTTTTAATTGTTAATAAAAACTATTTCATCATTGTTGCCTTTATAATGAAGTTAGACTCAAACGTCAAGGCTTAAGAAGGGATTACCACTAATCTTAATCAATTTAATACTTGTGAAATAAACGAATATGCATTCATAATCCTTAATCCACTTAGTATCCGGATACAATGCGTGGAATAAACGTAGTCATATTTATGAAGTAAATAGTGAGGTTATGTCAAAAAACGTAAACATAAACAATAAGGTTCCTGAAGAAATCAAAAAATAGTGCAACCACTGCAAAAAAAAAATAGTTTTATCATACGACTGTGAAAAGTGCGGATTGACTTATCATCCAAGTTGTGCTGCTCAGGCAAAGGTGCTTAATTCAGACAATACAGTGAACTATTGTAAGAACCAGAACATGAAGAAAAAGAAGATAAAAAACGCAGTGAAAAATATGTCATTCAAAAAACGCCATTCAAAAAACTAATGGAATGTAGGTACTCATTACAATAAAAAAAAAAAAAAAAGAGTGAGAAGAGAAGTAAGAAAAATATTACAAAAGTCCTATGCAGAAAGAAAATTTTCAGATGCTGAAAGAAACAGTAGGAAAACATGGCTAACACTAAATAACCTTTGCGGAAAAAAGATCGAGCAAAAATATGTACATAGAATCGTGAACCAAAGACCCTGAATTCAACAAATATTTTTCAAACGTGGGAAACTAAAATTTCAAAAAATCAAAACAACGTTTTTCCAGAAGAAGAAGTAATAGAAACTATTTTTCTTGAACCTACAAATGAATTTGAACTTAGAACGACAATAACCAACCTAAAAAACAACACTGCACCAGGATATGATGGTATAATTTTAAAAAAACCTAGTAAGCTGTTACAACATCATACAAAATAATTTGAATTTTGGAAAAAACAAGAGTAAGATATTTGGTCCATGGCCACTCAGCATAATTCTTCATCAGATTTCCTAATGGAGACAACAACTCGGACAATCTAGGCAAGTATTTAGAAAGTTTATCATACAAAGTATTTTCAACAGCTTTTTTTATTTCTAGTTTCTTCGAGTGCTAAAACAGCCTTTACATACTCAGGGTCAGGTCGTACACCATCAACTGAGAAAACCTAACCTGTGAAACATTGTATTGTACTGTAGTTTTAATAAATTTTACTTACTTATCTGCCCGTTTAATCATCTCCGCAAAAATCCTATCATGCTCTTCCTCGCTTAATCCCATTATTATAAAATTATCAAAATATATCAAATCATCAAATATTTTTATATTTATTTTTTGGAAAACTGAAGGTTCTACATTAGCCCAAATGGCAGTCGATTAAAGGAATATTTACCAAAAGGTGTTATACATGTAGACAATTTTCTAATGGCAGTAATCCTTCTTTTAGGTTTTATTTTATTGTCACCATTGGTGAAATTATTTTGAATAATTTTATTCTCAAATTTTTTTCAGGTATGCAATTGGAAATGCCCAGAAGTAAATACAATGATTCGCGAAATGTAATTTCCAAACAATAAACCTATCGCCGGCCGGCCTGTTAGGAATTTCTGGTGTAAGCCGACGAGTATTTGCGGTAACAAAAGGTTCGGACTGTTAAAGCGGAGATACGCAAGGATCTATTTGATATGACAGCCCTATTTAGTATCAGACACATCGGGAGACCCTTAATTTTAAGGGTGAATCGACTTCAACAAAAGGTAAGTGATACGATTGTTCCTTATAGAGTTAAGTTTATATATGAAACTTCAAATATTGTAGCGACCTTTTTGTTGAAGAATTAAAAGATAAGGTTATTGCTAAGAAGGTTTTTGAAATTTGAACATTTGTGCTAAAGTGACAGTAAATGAAGCAGTTCGTGGTTGGACAAAATGAATGTCAAAAAAACTCAATTACCAGCCAAAATAAGTTGGCCAAGAAAAAACCCTCAAGAATTCTTATAATTTCCAGACAATATACCCAAGAGCCTCTCAAGCAAAAATGGCTATCAATGATTGGTCATATCTGCAATGATATTTGAGCTAATTGGTTTCAATCATATCTAGTTTGAAAGAGCAATTAATTTCTATAAAATATCCTAAATTAGTTTTGGTAGCTTCCGAGCTAGGAAGCTTCAAAGTTGAGCTTCAACTTCAAATTCAATTATTTCCATGCGATAAATAAAGTTATCCACTAATTAGAGGTGAATTAATTAAAACTAAAAGCATCTTGTATAAAGTTGTCTTGGCAACATTTTGCAGTCTGACGATAAATGGAAAAAGAATAACACACATAAACAAATGGAATAAAACAAAATGTGTCATTTCCTATTAAATTATGAATTTACCCAAGGAAGTTGAAATCGTATTTTAAAACTAAAATTAGTTTCCGAATGAGGTGAATTGTAAATATAATTTCAGTATGTAATTGCAGGTTTTCAATACTTAAATTTCTATTTTACCTTAAAACTTTTAATCCTTGCCCTCAGAACATACTAGAAACGTTCCAGAAATCACAATGTCACTACATAATTATCCAATCAATTGTCATATTATAACCGCAAAAAATAAAAACAACATAATTTTTTACAACAAATATTTCCACAATTATTTATTTATTTATTTATTAATGAACACTTTTTATAGACACGTCATTATATTTTGTCCTTAAAAATATTTGTTTCTACGAAACTGTGAAAAGTTCCTATTTGTGCGTAATACACGACCAGATCCAGATCCGGACAGGACAAGGTCCCAACCTTGTCGTAGGCCCGCGCGAAACTGGAAACTGGAAAGTCCAAGGGAAATAGAGCGCTTCGCAATTTCACCGTTGCACATGCGTCTTTTACATAATAATAAATATTTCTTTTGATTATTGTTACATAAAAGTTTAGTTTGAAAATAATTTACTTAGTTCCAGAACTTGGCAAAATGTATAATAATTTAAATCATTATAGACAGTTATTTGCAACTTCCATTCCAAGAAAAATTCCTCAGTTTATTTTTATAGTCGGTACTAAACTACGCCATAACGATTCTTTTCAGTCCCACATTGAATTGTCATTACGCATTATCCGACAAGGAATCGGTTCCCATTTTATATTATCGGAAAGCGGTTTTTGTTCTTTTTACGTAAAGTATATACGTGGCTCGTATTCATTTTGCTCAATTAAGCCGACGAGTTACTTTTGCCGAAACGTTTTGATTTTTATTAGAGATAGAGGTATTTTTTCGGTTATTGTTATTTAATGGCTGTTTCGATTAGAGAATCGATTCGGGCACATTAGGGAATATTAGATTTGAGATATTGATGATAGGTAAAATATGATTCGAAGTATTTCAAAACTGATGTTTGATCGGCCAGGGCATATTATCAGGGCATCGGAGCCAAAATTTAAAAAGATCATATCTACATCTAATTTTCTTTCAAATTTCAATTCCGTTGAACTTTTGGCTTTTGAATCGTTTAATTTTGTAGATGGTTTTGAAGATCTATCACATAATCTTATATGTGTTTGATTTTCAAAGGGCCTTCACTCTCGAAACTTTCCCTCGGTTCGCTATCTGAAACTTCAGAGTTCGAATCACTTTCATGCCCAACATTTTCTTTTAAATTTTTAGACTAAACGACAGTTTCAATTTCAAATCAATGCATTTGAAGTCACTTTCAACATTTCTGAATCACTGCAATCGAAGAAAAACTTACTGGAAATTGTCCAGAGCAGTAAGTCACTCTCTCTTATTCTAGATTTTCAAAACCACAGTTCCAATGCTTCAAAAGCATATTTAAGCAGAAGTCACTCTCAACAGTTCTGAATCACTCCAATTTGCGAAAAAACTAACTGGAAATTGTCCAGAATAGCTACAAAAGTATCGGAATCAACTTATGATCCACCAAAGTCACTCTTTCTTGTTCTAAACTCTTAAAATCACTCAAAAAGTAGCTCTGAAGTCACTTTTACTTGTTCTAGACTTAAAATCACTGAGAAAGTAGCTCCAATGCTCCAGAATCTTCTTTGAAGTCACTCTCAACAGTTCTGAATCACTCAAATCGTCATTAAAAGTATCTCAGTCATCTTATGATCCATCCATCCAAAGTCACTCTTACTTGTTCTAGACTTTCTAAACCACTGAGAAAGTAGCTGCAACGCTCCAAAAGCGTCAAGCAATTTCCAATGCATTTGAATGCACTCTCAACAGTTCTGAATCACTCCAATTGTCGAAAAACTCACTGAACATTTTTCAGAGTAGCTTCAAAAGTATCTTAATCAACTTATATGAACCATCTAAAGTCACTCTTATTTGCTCTAGACTTTCAAAATCATTGTGATACTAACTCCGCCAATGCTTCAAAAGCTTTTTAAGCGACTTCCAATACATTTGAAGTTACTCTCAACTCAGTAGTCCTGAATTACTCCAATCGTCGAAAAACTTGCTAGACATTGTCCAGAGTAGCTTCAAAATTATCTGAATGATCTTATGATCCATGCATCCAAACTTAATCTTACTTGTCCTGGACTTTCAAAATCACTGAGAAAGTAGCTCCAATGCCTCAAAATCTTTTCAAGTGACTTCCAATGCATTTAAAGTCACTCTCAACAGTTCTGAACCTAGGAGGTATCTAAACAATCTAGCTAGACTTTATAGATATTTAAATCAACTGTTTACATACCTAAACAATAATTTACTTATAAGGTATTGGCCGAGGCAAATTAGGTGGGTAGTGATTTTTTTTTCTTGAGTCTAATACCTTCATTTTTGTAAAATTTCCTCAGCGATTTAACCTTAGTGTGGTCCAATGGGGATGACCAGAGGCTTTAGCAAAAAATATCCATTAGGCGAGATTGAATCAAGATAAAAATATTCCCGGAGGATTCAACATTATGTATTTGTCAAATCATACCCCCGGACAGGTAAATGGGTCTATCTTTGGTAAGATTAAAACGGAAACCTTTTTATTTATTTCATATATTTTTGACAAAAATAAAATTCATTTCATGTACTATACCTACTTAGATAAAATATTATTTGAGGATCGTTGACAAAAAACTAAGAAAGAGCATGTTTCTTCTATTAAAAATCTTCATTAATAAGCAAAATGTCGCTCTAATCCATTACAAACCATTTACTCTGTCTGGAAATTAAGTGCATCCTCTTCACCTCAATATCATAATTCACCTCAAAAACCATATAACAGAGTGGCAAAGTTTCGCAACACTATAATTCAATTTGGGCCCGGGCTTGTTAGATTAAAATCCTTTAATAGCGTTCCGAATCAGGAGTCCTTTCTGGGCTTATCCTGACTCGTCCGGTGATTTAGTTTTCTCTATTGCTGTCCTTTTTAGTTTTGATAAGACCATCACCTCCTTAACTTGTACTTTAATGAAAAAGTGTACTTTGCTTGAATTTTCTTTTCCATTTTCCAACTTTTGGTGACACTAGAAAAAATCAATTAACTGAAACAAGAAAACCTCCTTTACACATAAACCTTGATTGACAACATAATTTTCTTGTCCAATTACCATCACCATTCATATTAGCATAACAATTATTTCAATTTGCCATGTCCAAGTTTGCGGGATTTTATTCAAATCTAACTTATTTTTTGCGCTTGTGATCATTATACGAAGGGTCGTTAGGAATTTTAATCTATATCGGATGGAAAAGTGCCCTCCGTATAAATTGGGCTAAAACATTAATTATATGGTGTACAAAGAGCGTTGTAATATTGTTTAATTGCATACTAGCGCCCACGCAACAGCAAGTGCTACGCGCTCGGATGTCGATTAGTTCTTCTCGCATGCAGTGAGTATTCTACAGGGGTGGATACAGGCCTTTTGAAAGGGGGGAGGCAGTTTAAGTTAAAGGGGGTGTGCGCCAAAAAAATAACTTCATCTCAAAAAAAATCTAAGAATAACAGTGAAAACCGCACCACTCTATGACAAATAATACCGAAGATACGGCTCTATGAAAGCACCGCATCTCACCCTATAACGTCACGAAAGGTCAAGCGACGTATGAGAAAGTGAAGTAAATTGAATTAACATATGTTTTTTTTGTGTCACCTGCAATTATCTAAACAAAAACCACTCACGCGTGCCGGGAACAATCAAATTAACAATGCGGAGCGCGGCTGGACGAAGCTCTCGTGACGTCACACATACTTTAAAGCGGTATATCTCAGCGATGGTTTATCGTAGAATAACGAAGTTTGAACAGTTATTCTTAGATTTTTTTACACTAAAACTAACACCCCCTTTAAAGTAAGCCAGTTTGGGTTAGTTTTGACAGCGCATTGTGCAAAATACGGTTTTTCGAAGAAATGGCCCATAAAAATATGGGAATGGGGGAACTATTTAGGAGAATAAGGTGATTTTAAATAGGTAGGTACAGGGTGTTTTTTTATATATTGACATCCCACCTACAGCCTTTACCTTTACAGGTAGAAGAAAGGTGTCAATACAAAAGTTGTACAGTTTTGGCTGAATTTTTAGAAACCATGGTCAGAAACAAAATTTGAATATCAGAAAGGTGAAATTTTGCATGGTTCTAGCTTTTTTCAAATAGGATGCCCTATATTCTTGAAGAGCACAATGCCCCGATTCCAAAAATACATAGTTGGTCTATATTTGATTGAACAGTCTATCATATATTCGGCTCCAAAAATTGTAGAAATACTATCCTACTACTGATTTTGTGAACCTTTCTACCTATACAGGTGAAAGCTGCAGGTAAAATTTAAGGTACTTACTTGGTTTCTCTGAGAATTTCATACATCTATCAAAACTGGTATTCCAACAATAAATTGACATGTTTTGATTGTTGATTTGAACCAATCAGATTGTAATTACACGATAATTTGCACTAGCCATCTATTCATCAATATATAATGTTCAATTACGATACTAAACTGACTCACTCAAATGTGCGTTATTCTCATTAGTTTAAAAATTACACGTTTCAGGTCAGGTGAATGTCTTACTTGGAACAGTTCAACAGTATATTCAGGGACGTAGCAACAGGGCGTGCAAGTCGTGCCGCGCACAAAGGCCGTCCTGTCGTTTTTTGGACACAAGGAAATAAAAAAAAATCATATCACCATCAAGGATGATACACAGTACTACTACAGGATGGCCTATCTTCGTAAGGCCTGTATCCTGTGTGTAAAAAATCCGTTCCACGCCAAATCACCAGTTGTGACGTACGCAGCATGTTATTCCTCGCTTTGACGTAGGCTGTTTAAACAGCTGACTACTCAGTTATGACGTCGGAAATGGTAACACACCAATATGGCGGCGATTACCAAAAACAAGACCGATGGGCAATCCTGTAGGTGTGTATCATCCTTGTCTCACCACAGTATATCACACCCTCCCAAGCAATCATTCTTTGCTTTGGAGATTTCTTAAAACAAAAAACTGTGATATTGATTTCTACAGATTTCTTTTCAGTCAGTCCTCCAAGTTTCAGTACAAGGTTGTTTGAGAGAGGTACCTAGGTTGCCTGATAACTTTTAGACCAACTTACCTCTCTCAAACAACCTTGCTATTAACTTTACGATCCTTGGTCTGTGGAAGTCCATGAGTGAATCCCATGTGGGATTTTGTCGATGGAAAAAGTAAATCTATCGCTTAAACGGTAGCACTGGCCTGGCAGAACTGGCCCTGGGCATAGTTGTGTTGTCATTACAGGTCATCGATATGAGCCAAAACAAGCATTTATCGGGAGCTGAGAAGCGAAAGCGAAAAGACATTGAAAAACGCCAAAGAGAAAAGC